CTCACTCAGCCCAGGGCTCCCGGCGCCACACCGGACGCGGAGGGGCGCCATGGCCCAAGCCTCGGGTGGCTGCCAGGCCCGCAGGGTCCAGGCGCTGTTCGCAACTCCCGGCCAGGGAGCCGGCTGAAGGGTTGTAGGACAGCCATCCGCCCAGCGCCCCCCCACCCTCTGTCCCCAAGAGGCCCCAAAGCCCAAGCAGACCCTTCGCCTGACAGACAAGAAGCCCAGGCGCAGGAGCTGGAGGCCCTCTGCCTGGGCTGGGGTGCAGGGTGCCCAGCAGAGGAACTGCAGAGCTCAGGGCGGCTGTGCCAGATCAGGCGGGTGCGGGGAGCCCCCGCATCACAAAGAGGCCAGGTCTGCGGAACTCAGACCTGCACAATCCTGATGAGACGACCCTGTCTGGCCTCCTCATCCCAGGAAGGCTCTGGACCTCTCCTCGGGAGAGGAATTGAAAGGCAGGGAAGAACATGGATTTCCCAGGCTCCTCAGAGACAAGAGCAGGGTTTGGAGTTGCTTGTCTTGTTTGTGGTCTGGGGATGGAATCCCAGTCCTCAAGCACGCCAGGAAAGTGCCCTACCACAGAGCCACACCCCTGGCTCTGTTTTTCACTTTGTATTTTTCTGAGACAGAATCTCACCAAATTGTGCAGGCTGGCCTCAAACTTGCCATCCTCCTGCCTCGGCCTGGGTAGCGGGGATTACAGGCATGGGTCACCATGACTGGCAAGGCCGGAGACCTGGCAGAAGTTGAAGACTGGGCTCCAGGAGAGCCTGTGGTGACTGGGAAGCAGCTGGCCTCCGGGTGGGTCTGGGAGGTAGACAGTGTACCGGACCTCACGCAAGGGCCTTCGCAGAGGCTGACAGAGCAGAGCCAGGACAGAAGCAGAAGGGATCTGAAGATTTCATGATGGCAGCCTCGTCTAGGATGGGGCTGGGATGCAGGGCCGGGGTGCTGCCGGCCAGAGGCAGGGGTGCTGTTGCTGAATCCACTTCCAAAACAACCACAGTACCGGGGAGGGAAAAGGTCTCCTAAGTCAGCCGACAGAGGGAACGAAAATCCCGACCTGAGCACTGATGGACAGAACACCGGAGCTCCACCTGCCTGCTGGGGCTGTGGGACCAAAGCCGAGCGCTCATGTCCTGGCCTGCCTACCCAGGGATGGAAGCACTCATTTTTAAAGGCCAACTTGGGTGTCCCTGATGTTGGGGTGACCACTACATTTTTTTCTTTGTTGTATTTTATATTTTGAGGCAGGGTCTTATTGCGCAGTCCAGACCGTCCTTGAAATCACTAGGCTGGCCTGGAACTCACAGCAATCCTCCTGCCTCAGCCCCCTGCGTGCTGGGATTACAGGCGTGCACCACCATGCCCGGCTCCCACTTTGCTTCTGAGGATTGATTTAAACCTTTTACTTCCTCCCTGAAGAGAAACCTTGACGTTGGGGCTAGCACCCTCCGAGCCTCACAGGCATAGGCAGGCCCGGGGGCCCAGGGTCGAGTTACAGCCCGCTCTGCCCGCTCCCCACTGCTCCGCTTCCCCTCCCAGGAGCCCAACTTCCTAATGACGAGTGACACCCGTGGATGTCTGGGGGTTGCCCTGGCCCTTGTCCTGTGTCTCGTAGCTGGGCGGCGATGCCTTTGCCCTGCACTGCTGCCCCATCAGGCTGAGCCCTGAGTCACGTGGCAGCCGTGGTCAGCAGAGAGCCAGGGCCCTGGAGGACCCGCCCTCCTGTCGCCGCTGTGGTCCTCCTCTCCACCTCGGTGGCCCGGCTCCTGCCTTGGCTGCGGGGATCCCTTGGGGCCCCTACGTAGCTGTGAGCCCAGGGGCCCAGGGATAGACATGGCGGCCTCCCGAGTCCTGGGGCCCCGTGCAGCCATCAAGCCGAGCTTGCCCAGCCGGTGTCCCCAGCAGCACCCCCTCCCCAGGCCTGACCATTGGCGCTGGCTGCAGCCTGGCCCAGGTACAGGACATCATGGCCAAGAGCATCTCTGAGCTCCCGGAGCAGAAGACGCGGACGCTCCGAGCCCTCTCCAAGGCCCTGCACAGCCTGGCCGGCCAGCAGATCCGCAACCTGGCGGTATGTCTGACCCGCGCCAGCCTGGCTGGGACCCCAACCTCTCAGGCTGCTGGGTGTGTAGGGTCGCTGTGCTGGGGCCTCAGCAGGCAGAAGCAGGAGGGTAAATTTAGCAAATGTCACTGCATACAGCAGAGCAGTTCAGCAGCCACACAGGTAAGAAAAGGGCACCTCAATACCGCACATCTCCTGATGAGCCTTGCCAAACCCTGACTTGGGCTCGGGCTCCATTAACAGAGGTGTAGTGTCTCAGCAAGGAGGGGCTTCTGCCTGCACTGTGCAGCCACAGCAGGGGAAGGGCGGACAGAGGAAGGGAGGTGCCTAGCTTAGACTGCACCCTACGCGGTGCCCTAGGGAGCCATGAGCAGACCGCGGCCTGGACAGTGCTCTCTAGGGACCCTCAAGTCACATCCCAGCTCAGGGGCTCCGCCAGGCCCACAGGAGCCCTGAGTCCAGCTGGGTGGGCGGGGAGTGCGCCTTCTCACAGCTGAGGCCCCAGGGCCATGTGGAGGGGGACAGGACTGCAGGAGCCAGGGGCTGGGACTTCCACCCACCCGCTCCTCCTGCCTGGGGCTTGGCCAGGTCTGGGTCCCACCTCCAGGGGCCCTGCTGAGTTCCTGGAGACCGAGACGAGGTGGGTGTGGGCCCAGCAGAGCTTCTCCGGCTTCAGTCCTTAGGGGGGCACGTCGTGAGCCGGCACAGCTACTCCGACCTGAACCCTGTCCTCGCTGTGGGCCGGGCAGCCCTCAACCTTCGGTCCGAAGGTGAGCACGTCATCGGAGCACACACGCCCCTGGCCTGGCTCCCCTTTAAACCGGACTGACTGGCTGCAGGGGCCCACAGGCCCTGGGGTGTGAGCCCCAGCCCCTGCCCTGCACGCGCCTGTGCCCCCGCTGGCCAGCTGAGGGCCCTGCACGAAGGGCTGAGTCCTGCAGAAAGCAGAGAACAGAGGCAGGGCAGGAACGGCTCCCCTCAGGACCCTCCTCAGCATGGCACAGGGCCCAGCAGGGCAGAAAGGCTCCGGAACCACAAGGGCAGCACCTGACACCAGGGAGGAATCCAGGGCTCTGGGCGCAGGCTGCGAGGGTGGCGCAGTCCCCACCCAGCACCCCTGGGCTGCCCACTGCCTCTGCTGCAGTCCCTGCTCCCAGGGCCACCAGAGCCACCTCAGAAGGGGAGCACCCTGCTGGCAGGTGTGGCAAAGGTGAACGCAGCCCTGGGCCCCACACCGTGCCACCCACACTCCCAGCCCAGCCCCCTGTGCCGGGTGCCGGGTGCCGGGTGCCGGGTGCCGGGTGCCGGGTGCCGGGTGCCGGGTGCCGGGTGCCGGGTGCCGGGTGCCGGGTGCCGGGTGCCGGGTGCCGGGTGCCGGGTGCCGGGTGCCGGGTGCCGGGTGCCAGGTGGACACTGTCCTGGCTGCAGCTGCCCTGGCGGCCCCCTCACAGCCTCTCTGGTGAATACCCCAGACACAGCTCTGCTCCGGGTGCCGGGGTCCAGGGTCCCCGCTTGGCTTTGAAGGTGTCGGTGCCCTGGCTCAAGAGCGTGAGGGTCCGAGCTGGGCTCGGGGCAGGAGAGGCCTTGTGGCCTGAGACCCCAGGCTGGCTCTGCAGGAAGATGAGACCATGCCACCTGCGGGGAGAGGAGGCTCTGCTCCATGGGCATCCATGGTGATGCTGGTGCCCATTTGCAGGGGGTGCAAGGCTGGTCCCCCTGGATGAGCACTTCCTGGCTGGGGAGGCAAAGGCAGGCCTGCAGCCTGGAGAGATCGTGGAGTCCGTGCACATCCCCCACACACGGCAGATGGGAATCCCCAGGCCCTTCAGCTTTCCCCTTACCCCAGCCGGGAGAGCACTGCCTGGGACCCGCCTGCCCTGCGGACAGCCAGTCCGTGCTCCTGAGGGGCGGTGGCCCTGCCTCCTCCCCGCACCAGCCCGGTTTCTGTCCCCCACACTCCTGCCACCCCAGCTCACGGAGCCCGAGCGTCCAGCACCCCAGGGCCCCAGCAGTCATGGAGGAAGCCTCTCTCCGAGGTTGTGCCTGAATCAAGACAGGTTTCACAGACACTACATACACTGCACACCCAGGAGAACACGCACACCTGAGCACACACACAGCAACCTGAAGCGGGAGCTCTGAGTCGAGCAGCTCTGAGGCCGCTCTGGCTCGGCTCTCTGGAACGGAGGCCGGGGGCACCTCCAGATAGAGGCGAGACACAAAGAGGCCTCAGGCCCCACACCCGGCAGGGGGGCCGAGGGCCCAGGACTGGGTGAGGACAGCCTGCCTCGCTCCACCCACCTAGGGGTTCCCTTGTCCACTGTGCAGAGTTCAGCCCGGCCCCTGCTGGCTTTGCAAAGGGAACCACGCGGTTTCTACGAACCCAGAATGCGGCTCTCCCAGCCTCGAAGCCGTATCCAGAGCCTCCCTCCTCTGCTCTCCCCTGGGGGCGGTGCCCAGGCAGCATCTGCACTGAGCTCCCAGAGGTGTCAGCCGGGCATCCTCAGCTTGCACCAGCTGTGCCCTGCATCTCCTCGCCCTCATGCGGTGGCTTCGTCTCCACAGTGGGAATTCGTGTTCGGCTTCCGGCAGGCTCAGGCCCGGCAGAACGCCGTGCCACATGTGAGCGCTGGCATGCGCGTGCTGTTCAAGGAGGGCACAGACACCATTGAGGACCTGAGCATCGCCTATGGCGGGGTGGGCACCACCACCGTCATGGCGCCACGGTCCTGCCAGCAGCTCCTAGGCAGGTGAGCACCTTGCGTTGGGACACGGGGTGCAGCCGCCAGGCCAGGTAGAAACCCTGCTTCCGCATCCCTCCCGTCCCTTTGGATTTCGCTGCGTGGCCTTGTGACTGGGTGCTCCCAGCCAGGCTTCTCGCCAGGCCCAGAGCACAGTCTCCCCCCAGGGCCTCTCACCCTCAGCGAGGTGGCACCCACATCCAGTGCCTCGCAGTGACTCTGGCATCGAGGCGTGTGTGGCGGGCCTGGCGCTGCTCTGTGGGTCGGGGTCCCAAGCTCCTGGGCTGTGGCCCCTGGACTCCCTGTCTTGGTCCAGTGGCCGCTGTGGTCCCCAATGCCCTTTGAACGGCTCCTCTGCCTCACTTTCCAGGCCCTGGACGGAGGTGACACTAGACGAGGCCTGCAGGCTGGTGCTGGGTGAGGTCGCCATGCCCGGCTCGGCCCCCGGCGGCCGGGTGGAGTTCAGGAGGACCCTGCTGGTCAGCTTCCTCTTCAGGTTCTACCTGCAGGTCCTGCACGAGCTGAAGATGTGCTGGCTCCCCCGGCCCCTGAGTGTGAGCGTGCAGCACATCCCAGCGAAGTCGGGGTTCTGGGGTGGTCCAGGGCTGGGACGCTCTGCACACACTGCTCACCGGCCTGGGTGTTGGCTGTCAACCTTTGGGGTCCCCTGCAATATAGGAGCTTCACCCTGTCCCTGCCTTCAACACCCCACCCCACCATGTCTCCAGTTGTCCCCTTCTTAAACCACCAGAAAAACTCCCAAGAACCTCATTTTACATAGACTGTCTCTGTAGTTCCTGTGGGTACCGTGGCACATACCTGTAACCTGTCACACAGGAGGCTGAGGCAGGAGGGTTGCAAGTTTGAGATCAGCATAAGCAACTTAATGAGACCCTACCTCAAAATACAAAATAGAAGGGCTGGAGGTATAGCTCAGTGGTAGAGCACCCTAAGTCCCGTCGTTAGTACAGGGGAAGAGAGGACAGAAGTCCCACTCCAGGGTCCTGGCCATGGCAGTGCCCACTGCCGGCAGCCACATATCCAATGCACATAGAACAACATTATATTTCCCAGAAGGACCAAAGCCGAGCTGTGCATAGGATAACAGAACTCAAGTCACCTTCTGTATTTTCTGACTGTGAACTTCTGGAGGAAGCTCTGCAAAGCAGAGCCCCAGCTCTCCCTCTCCACCTCCTGTGCCCCTGCTGTGGTCACAGCTCACCTAGCCTGCACCTGCCCAGCCTCCATCCACTGTTCTGAAACTTCTGCCCAACCTGGGCTGGGTTGGGGATGGCCGCGTGTCAGCCACACCAGCAACCGCCCAGCCTGCCTCTTCCGGGGGCAGCATTGGGGCTGGCCCTTTGGGGACAGTGGACACCGGCTTGTTCTGGGGGCTCAGCCAGCCCCACACACAGAGAGACACACGCATGCACACACCTATGCAGAACACATGTGCACACATGCGCACACCTACACAGGACACATACCTGAGCACACACAGGTACTGCCCACACCCCCAGCTCCCCAGCTGGCTGCTCCAACCGAAGTGACAGCAGTAGACTTCCCCAGTCCTTCCAGGTCCTCCTGTGCAGGGAAGGCGGAAGGGGCCTCACAGCATGGCCCTGGGCAGGCAGGGAGGACCCAGGTTCCCTGGATGCTGGAGCCCAGGCCAGGCCCAGCCCAGGGGCTGATAGCTTCTCCTCCTGCTGAATGGCCCCTCAGGACAGCTGCTGGTGTCCCCACCTCCCAGACCGGTTCCTCAGCGCGCTGGAGGACTTCCCGGTCACCGTGCCCCGGGGCGTGCAGACGTATCAGGTCAGTGGTGGACGGTAGACGGGGACCTCTAAAGCGCTGAACAAAGGGGCTGAGCGCCTCCAGTGGAGAAGGCAGAGCCCCTGCCCGCCCCCAGTGTGCCAGCAGGCTGCCCCCTCCGAGATGTGCCAGCTGCACGTTCTCACACACGTCCTGGAGGGGCCGTCCAGTCGAGGGGGCTGGGCTGGCCAGTCCCCGGGGAGATGGCCCTGAGCGCTGTCTTCCCTGCAGAGTGTGGACCCTCAGCAGCCGTCCCGAGACCCCGTGGGCCGCCCTGTCATGCACCTTTCGGGCCTGAAACACGCCACGGGGGAAGCTGTGTTCTGCGACGACCTCCCCAGGGTGGACAGAGAGCTGTGCATGGCCCTGGTGACGAGCAGCAGGCCTCACGCGAAGATCCTGTAAGTGTGCAGAGGGCCAGAGCCCGGGGGGCATCCCCGGCTGCTCCCAGCTGCACTCCTTCCCCTGCAGCATCCTGAGCCTGGGGACGCTGGGCTGGAAGGCCGCGGCTCCGAGGGACGGGGAGCACAGAGAGGCCGCTGAAGGACGGGCTCGGCTGTGCCAGGTGCAGGGCTGGCCGAGAGAGAAGCACCCACAGCCCTGCCAGACTGTCACTGTCCAGGGCACCTGCTGCCTCATGCTGTCCCTGCCCTGTGCGGGCTCTGGGGCCATGGCTGTGCCCGGCCATTGCTGGCTGTACAGCTCCTCCCTGCTCCTGGGCCGAGCCCCTGGCCGCTACTCCCTCAGCCTCTTCCCGTGCCAGGTCGGTGGACCCGTCCGAGGCCCTCAGGCTGCCCGAGGTGGTCAGTGTGATAACAGCCGAGGACATTCCAGGCACCAACGGCGCTGAGGACGACAGGCTGCTGGCTGTGGATGAGGTGTGTACGAGATGCCCTTGCGGGGGCTCCATGGGGACGGCCCCCAGGCACCTGGCCACTGCCTCACACTTCTGCCATTGCTGAGGTGCCAGGCCCCAAGCCTCTCCTGCCTGATGCCTCTGTCCGCTGCCCTGGGGAGAAGCACCAGGGTGTCAGTTGCTCAGTTATCCCCTCCCATGACGCCTGCGTCCCCAGCCAGGGCGAGGCGGCCGTACCTGTGCCCCCAGCACTGTGCATGACCCACAGGTGCTGTGCGTGGGCCAGATCATCTGCGCCGTGGTGGCAGAGACAGACATGCAGGCAAAGCGGGCGGCTGCAGAGGTTAGGGTCACCTACGAGGACCTGCAGCCCAGCATCTTCAGCATTCAGGTGAGGCAGGACTGGCCACTCCCTCCCAGGGCGGACCTCTCCGGGCAGGCAGGACGCATTCAGGACGTGACTTTCCCCTTGGCACTGAAAGCTCTTACTTCTGTGTCTGTGATTGCCTTTGCCTTCAAGCCACAGGGAAATAAAGCACTGACTGGAGGTTTCTCTCCCATTCAGCCCAGGGCATACGCCATGCCTTGGTCTAGGTGGTGCTGTTGAACAGAACCCCTGAGAGCAGGTGATTTATAAGAACCCAAACTGACTTCTCATGGGTTGGGAGTCCAGGAAGTCCAGGGTAAAAGGGCTGTGCGCGGGAGTCGTGGCCCCACGCGGAAGCCGAGAGTGTGCGAGTTCACACCAGGACAGCGCAGACCCCGGCGCTGTCACAGGAACCCTCTCCACACTGCTGCCCTGGGATCCACACTTGAACTTTGGGGACTCCCTCAACCACATGGGATGCATTTTGCAGAACAGAGATGCACATGAGTCTTTAGGGTGGAATTTTAGGGTTCAAGCCTAGGGCTCCCCCAAGGCTGTGAGCGCTCACAGGTGACTGAGTGTGAGGAGGTCCTGTCCGCCTGGCTGGAAGAGGCGGTCAGTGCCGGCCCAGGGCTGTCCTTGCCCAGCTCTACCCTCTACTCTCTCTGCCCCACACCAGCCAGGAGCTGCCTGGCCCTCTTCCAGCTCTCTGCCCCGCCATGGACCCAGCCTCTCTGGACCAGAACCTCTACAAACTGAGCCAGAATAGGCCCCTCCCCCCTTAAGCTGCAGGTGCTGTGTCCCAGAGGAAGAGAAAATGACGAAGACACAACATGTGGTGCTGGGTGTTGGGACCCAGCCTCCATCTGGCCCGTTTCTCCATCACATGGGGTTTCCAGGTCACAAGTTGGTCTACAGTTGTAGGGAACGGGGAAGGGGACGTTATCAGGACCTCTGCCGTGGGACCTGGCCTGTGAACCACCACAGCACAAGGTGAATCCAAGAACAGACAGAAACGAGACTTAGAGTGGAGACGCTGAGTCTTGTCTGCCGTCTGCCGTGGGACCTGGCCTGTGAACCATCACAGCACAAGGTGAATTCAAGAACAGACAGAAACGAGACTTAGAGTGGAGACGCTGAGTCTTGGGTCCTGGTCAGTGTTGCTGACGGCAAGAAAGACAAAGGCCCCAAGTGCATCCAGTATTTTTTGAATATAATCGTGGGAGGGAATAGGGAGCAGGGTGTGCTTTGAAGGCGTCTTTTGCAATACTGCCAGACACCTGACATGATGGCGCCAGGCAGGGCCGCTGGGGAGTGAGCGCTGCTTATCTTGCTTGGATAGAACAGACTGGTACTGGGACCGGATACAATTAGCAAGCAACCCTTCGGGTCAGCGAGAAGCCATAATTCAGGAGAGAGGACTTTAATCGGGCTCACACTGACCTCAGCTGTATGTAACTCAGCAGAGCCCTGCCACTTCACAGAGCAGGGCCTAGGTTTCCGTGGCAGCCATTGAGGGAGGGGCTGTGCTCACCCAGTCTGCCACCTGACACGCCCCTTTGAGTCCCGTGGAGCTTCTGTCTGACTCCTGATGTGAAACGATACATCTGGATTATGGAAGTCAAGAAGCAGGTGCCACAGAGCCCACTAGTCTGGGCAGGGACGTCTGCCACATGGCTACAACCAAAACTCGCCATGAAATGGACATCTTGGGCGCTTTCTGGCACCGGGACAAAACAGCCCACACTACAGCTGAGAAGAGGTTACTTTTGGCTCAGTTTCCAGAAGGCTCGGTCCATGGTTGGCTCCAGTCAGAAAGCAGCACTGCAGACGGGGAGAGGAGGAAAGTGCTCATGGGGGCCACGGAAGCAGAGGCACGAGGCCCCCCCTGCCTCCTTGGCCTTCCCCGGCCCTCCTTGCTGGCTCTCTGCGACCTAGAAGGCTCTCCCTCTGCTCTTTCGGCGCAGGAGAACACTCCTGCAGTGAGTGAAACTGGCCTTGCTTCCCCGTTGCTCAGGACGCCATAATGCACAGCTCCTTCCTGTGCCCCGAGAAGAAGCTCGAACGAGGAAGCGTTGCGGAGGCCTTTGGGGAAGTGGACCACGTCGTGGAAGGTGCGCACCGCAGGGCCCTCACAGGCTCCGGCCCGCGCCCGTCACCCCGGAAGTCGGGTCTTCCCCTGTCCTGCTGCTCTGGTCACCTCAGTGTGTGTGCACAAGTGATGAGCGTGCATGTGTGCTCATGCTTGGGAGTGAAGGGTAGGGAGCCACAGAGCAAACACCCGGGGACTGGGACCGAGGAAGGAGCGGAGCCTTTAGGAGCTGTGGTCTCTGACACAGTCGTCGCAGGGCTGCCGGGGACACCTGGCTCCTGGGGACACCTGTGGCCGCGGCCCTGAGCGAGACAGTGGCTTCCAGCCCACACCCTGGGTCTTCCTGCCCTTGGCTTACAGGAGAGGTGCACGTCGGGGGGCAGGAGCATTTCTACATGGAGACGCAGCGGGTGCTTGTCGTTCCCAAGGCTGAGGACCAAGAGCTGGACATCTTCGTGTCCACCCAGGACCCAGCCCACGTGCAGGTGAGCCCCGGGCGGCCGAGGCCGAGGCCGTCTTCGCTGCACAGACGCGGAGCCGAGGGCGGGACTGCGAAAAGCAAAGATCCCAGGGTCTTTGGACTTTTTCTGGTCTTGTCAAATATGGTCACTTCAGGTTTGAAGCCGGCTTCCTCGGGTCAGGCTCCGACTGAACTCTTGTCCTCGGGCGCTCTGCTCCTGGCCACACAGACTGGAGTCTGAGCGCCTAACGTATCCGCCTCGCTCGCTGCCCAGGCCCGGCCCCTCGGCAGGAAGGGCCAAGCACAGCTGGGCGTCGGCTCCTGCAGCTGCCCCGAGACTCCTCAGGCAGAAAGCTCACTGCACTCACGAGCCTTCCCTGCCTCTCTCTCCCAGAAAACCGTGTCCTCGACCCTGAACGTGCCCCTCAACCGGGTCACCTGCCACGTGAAGCGCGTGGGTGGAGGCTTCGGGGGCAAGGTGGGCAGGCCGGCCTCGCTGGGTGCCATCGCCGCGCTGGGCGCAGTCAAGTGAGTCCCGGCCGGGCGCGCACAGAGCTGGTGGGCAGCGGTGGTGTTGTGCCGCACTGCCCTCCCCGCGCATCGCCCTCCCCGCGCATCACAGGCGCTGGGCTGACAGAAAGCGCTGCTGTGTCCCACACGCCAGGGCTGAGGGAGCGAAGGTCCCAGCTCTGCGGCCCCCATCCAGGAAAGGTGCACGCTTGGCCCCAGGCCCCAGGGGCGGCTCAGAGCGAGGTCTGAGCGCAAGCTCCAGGCACCTGCTCCCCGCAACCGCCCAGAGCCCACTGCGCCCACCTTTGTGGGACCTCTGGGGTCCTCTTCACCCCAAGCCTGGGACCATCAGGCACTGAGCAGCCCAGAGAGTTGTCCCCAAACCTCAGAGACAGGGCCCCAGTTCCACCTCCGTGGCAGACGCTGGCCCTGGTGCTTGGCCCCAACACCAACAGACAAATAACACTTAAAAGCAAGAAAGAAGGCTAGGGTGGAGCTCAGGGAACAGCACCCGCCTTGCCGGTGTGGGAAGGGAGAGACCCCCACAGTCCTCTCCATTCGTCCCCTAACCAGGCTGGGCTCAGCGGCTGGACCTGGCTGGTGGAATAGGTCAGACACTGGCTGGGCTGCACACTGGGTCACACCAGCCCCGCACTCTGTGGTGCAGGAGGCTGGGTGGCAGGTGTGGCAGGAGCGGAACTTCGCGATGGACAGCAGGGCTGTGGGCCAGGGCGAGGGTTGAAGAGTTTGGCTAAGACTTGCTTTCCTTAGGACTGGTCGTCCTGTTCGCCTCATCCTAGATCGTGAAGAGGATATGTTAATAACTGGGGGAAGGCACCCATTATTTGGAAAATATAAAGTGAGTATTAAGATAAAAGTTATTAAAGCCAGGTGTGTGGTGCATGCTGCAATTCCAGCATTAGGGCGCTGAGGCAGGAGGATCACCACTAGTTCAAGGCCAGCCTGGGCTACATAGTGAGTTCAAGATCAGCAAGATCCTGTCTCAAAAAGCTAAAAGAAAAATTATTTAAGGGCTTCAACTTATTTGAATGGCTTTGTCCTTTTCTATTATTTTGATTTTGTTAAATTCTAAAAACATGTCAGCACTTCAAATATTAAATAATGATGCTGTGTGTTGGAACATTCGTAACATTTTATGATAAACTTTTAATCTAGTTATAATTATGCAAGTGTTTAATAATGAAAATTCAAATTGAAGTAATAATAAACACACTGCTTGAAGGCATGAGGATTTAAATTACTGGTTCCTCAAGGACAAAAAAATAAAATAAAAGAATTTACATTGTCCTACCAAAATTTCTTCTCTAGAAATTTTTTTCCTTTTTTTCTTTTTTTTTTTCTCTTTCCTTTTTTTTTTTTTCTGAAATAGTCTAACTATGTAGCCCAGGCTGGTCTTGAACCCCCCAGCAATCCCCCTGCCTCAGCCTCCCCAGGGCTGGAATTACAGGGGTACACCACCACACCCAGCCCTAAAAATAGTATTTAGTAGTAGAGATGTTTGGAAACAATGTGACCACTTTAACTGCAAATCACTTTTTGTTTGTTTTTGGTTTTTGAGACGGGGTCTCACTATGTAGTTGAGACTGACCTGGAACTATGTAGCCCAGGCTGATCTCGAACTCACAGTGATCCTCCTGCCTCAGCCTCCCAGGTGCTGGGATTACAGGCATGCGCCATCACACCCAGTTTGCAAATCACTTATTATAAAATTGCCCACTGTGAGACTGTGAAAGTGTCACAAAATCTCACTGCAAATGGGAGAAAAGACTCCACTAATGAGTGAGTTTGCACTTTTTCCAGACCACATGCCACACGTCCACACCATCGCGTGGTGCCGCTGCTGGAGTGCCTGCTACCTGCAGGTGACGCATGACTCTGCACCCGGTGTCAGGGTGGCTCTGGGTGGCACGGGGCTCAAGGCCGCCCTCCACGAGGGCATACCCGGCCCATGTGGGTTGTCACCACCAGAGACCCTTGGACCTGTGCCCAGCTCCCCTCCCTGGGCTCAGGAACCTCCACAGTTAGTGAGAGCAGCTGAGCTGGCCACTCCTCGCTCCCCTACAAGGCTCAGAAATCGGCAGTCACAGCCATCCTGCCTCCTGACCAACAGCAGCCTCAGAGCGGGTGCCACTGCTGTGTCCTTTGGCCTTGGCCTGGATCATAAGTTATGCTTTCTGTCACAGTCATGAGACTGCTTCAGTAATAACAGTAAGAACCTTCTAGGCCGGGCATCCCCACACTCGGGAGGCTGAGGCAGGAGGATTGCCAAGAGTTCACAGCCCGCCTGGGCTACATAGTGAGCCAGCCTGACTGAACTGCATAATAAGACCCTTGCTCTCAAAAAAAAAGAAAAAAGTTCTAGCTTGTTAATATTTTGATAGTTTTCATAATATGAAGTAAAACTAGAAAGAGAGAAGTAGATTTCTGGAAAAGTCCAACTTTTATAGTACTTTTAAAGAAATAGATACTACAGGTACATGCCTGTTATCCCAGAAACCTGGAAGACTAAGAAGATCATGAGTTCAAGCCCAGACTGGACAGTGAAGTGACTTAGGGAACCACTTCCTCAAAATAAAAATTTTTGTTAAAATGTTAAATGTCGGGGCAGGATTTGGCTCAGTGTTTCCACTGCCTGCCTCGCAAGCGCAAGGGCCCGAGTTCAATCCCTGGTACCAAAAAAATAGATAAATTTTTTTTTAAATGCTAAAGGTCTGTGGATGTAGCTCAAAGCCAAGGCGTTGGGTCCAATCCCAGCACTAAAACAATACGTATAAGAACAGTGCCTCGGTTGGTGAGTTTAACTCGCCCACGATTCTGGGGAAGATGCTGGGGTCATGTTTGTCACCCCATGTGGAGCTCACAAACAAGCAAATTTTTGTCAAATACTTCTGGGTGCTAACCGAGCTTTTTGCAAACCATCCATTGACTGCATTATTGTGTAAACGCACAGCCCGTACCCCTCCAGGAGGACCGTATCCTCATCCATGCACGCTGACTGAGCCCTGGGGCTCCTGGACTGTCTGTAACCCGTCACGGTGGTCGCGCACGTAACCGGCTTCCTCCGAGCCGGAGCAGACGGCCCCACCCTGCCCGCGCGACTTCTGGTCCAGCACCAGAGTCCGGACAGTGTCTCCCGAGAATGAGGAGACAGTGGGGGCTGCGCAGGAGGGACAGGCCAGGGTGCCAGGCACCGCGAGCCTGCAGCACACAGGGACGCGCAGAAGTGAGGCTGGGCCCTGAGACAGTGAGACCCCTGTCTGTGCCAGGTGGGCTTCAGGAGCAGCGGGCGGATCAAAGCGCTGGACATCGAGTGCTACATTAACGGGGGCTGCACGCTGGATCACTCCGAGGTGGTAGGTGGCACTTCCGAGTCCAGGGGCCTCCCTTGTCTGAACCCAAAGTCTAAACAGAGAACACAGGAAATAGGAACAGGCAGACGGGCCCACAGCAAACGGAAAGGACCTGGAGGCAAGGGGAGACAGGGGAGCAGGGAGCTCAGGCGTGCCAGGCACAGTGCCCGCTGCCCCAGGAGCAACCGCGCGTGCTGCCAGCACAGATGGGAGAGAGCCCAGCCGCAGGCAGAGCGCGGAAGCCCAGGGTGCGGCCCGGGCAGTGGACCCCTTCCCGACGGCCGGCTCTGGACTGTGAGTGAAGTGCTGGTATCCAGCATCCGTGCATGTCTGTGTCCTCACGGCAGGTAACAGAATTTCTCCTACTAAAGCTGGAAAATGCATATAAAATCCGAAACCTCAGGCTCCGGGCCCGGGCGTGCAGGACCAACTTGCCGTCCAACACGGCCTTCCGCGGGTTTGGCTTCCCGCAAGGCGCACTGGTAACGGAATCGTGCATCACAGCCATGGCAGCCAAGTGCGGTCTTCCACCAGAGAAGGTAGGGCTGGGGCCCGGCACGGGGCACACGCCTGTCACGCCAGCACTCTGGGTGGCCGAGGCAGGAGAGTTACAAGTTCAAGTCCAGTTTAGTGACTTCGCCAGACCCTGTCTCAAAATTTAAAATATAAAAGGAAAAAAAAAAATATATATATATATGTAAAAGGGCTGGGCATGCAGCTCAGTGTACAGGACCTGACTTCTGTCCCCAGTACTGATAAAAAAGGGAGAGAGGAAAAAGAACAGGCAGAAAGGGAAGATTGCAATCAAGGTCACGACCAAGACCGGTGAACCGGGCAAGGTGAAGGCCGTGCAGAGCCCTAGAAAGGCACGGCAGTCCTGGCGCAGGGCCCCTAGATATTTGAGGCTGCCTGGAGAATTCCTCCCCGAGCTTGCTCCCTCTCTCACTGTGCATTAATATCCTTTCTCTTTTCGTCTTTTAGTTTATACCCATATAATTACTTCTTTTAAAAATCCAAGCCGTGGTGAAGCAGTTGAAGTCAAGGTGACCCTCCCTCTCCCACCACCACCCCTATTGGGCAGGAGTAGCGCATTTCCATGTGCATGATTCTGTTTTCTTTTTTCCCCCCTTTTACAGCCCTGGGAATAAGCCCAAAGCCTCATGCCTGCTAGGCAAGCACTGTACTCCTGGCTCGATCCCAAGCCCCCCAACTTTTTCTTATTTTGGGGCAGAATCTTGCGAAATTTCCCAGGCTGGGTGAAAACTTGCCATCCTCCTGCCTCAGCCTCCTGAGTAGCTGGGATTACAAGCGTGTGCCCGCCCTTTCTCTATCTTTACCAATCCTATGCAGCTATGCACACGTGTGTACATACCGACATGCACTGCACGTGTGTGCATACTTAGTCATCCCCAAAATGGATGGAAACAACTGGGCATGCTTGTGCCCCACTCTGTCTGCCCAGAGGGGAGCACCTTGCCCGACGCTGCCCTGCACAGACCCCAGCCCCCTTAACCACTGATGGCCTCCGCCAGGTCAGGGAGAAGAACATGTACCGGGCCGTGGACAAGGCTGTCTACCAGCAGGCGTTCAGCCCTGAGCCCCTGGCCCTCTGCTGGGCCGAGTGCCTGGCCCGGGCCGACCTCCAGGCCCGACGGGAGCAGATCGATGCCTTCAACCAGCAGAGCCGCTGGAGGAAGCGAGGCATCGCCGCTGTGCCCATGAAGTTCTCCGTTGGCTTTGCAGCCTCCAGCTACCACCAGGTGCGTCCCTCCCGCGCGCTGTGCCGATGGGACAACAGGGCGCGGCCCCCATTCCGTAGCACAGGAGTCCTGGAGCCCCGCTGAGCCTCTCTCTGGGCCGGGGCCAGGCAGCAGCATCCCTGTCTGTGTCCCCTCCAGCACCTGACCACTGGGTGTCCAGCCTCTTCCCAGAGCCAGGAGGCAGCAGTGGGGACCAGAAATCCTCCCAGGTGTGTTTGCTAAGGAGGAGGAAGCGCAGCCCACAGCAGGGTTCCAGGCAGCCGAGGACAGCATCGGTGCAGCCTGAAGCCCCAGAGACACACACACACAGAGACACAGACACACAGACACACACACACACACACACACA